AAAATGGGCCGACTGCCCGTGCCCTATGCATAACGAGAGCGTGAGAGCATTATGGCATAGTTAGGCTCGGCTTCTGAGCCGAGCGGGAGACAGCCGCCAGAACAGACGCTGCCGGGCGTAGGCATATGCGTTATGCTGCTTGACCCGACATACTCCCCCCGTTGGAAGCCCGACTTTCAACAGCATCTTTAAGGGGAAGCAGACACAGCTTGTTAACGGCTCGCTTGGTCATTCCGGATGCACTCTTCAGAACAGCGACTCGGGCGACCACCCTAGCTAGTGGCCACTTCATGGGAGGGAGATTCTCATCCTTAACAAGGACCACATCTGCGACTGCCAAACTAGGCTTCGGCGTGCGCCACTTTGAGCGCTGTTGCAGTGAAGTGATGTATTCTTCCTTCTATCTGGACCAGAAGATCTGCTGCAAATATGAAACGCGCTGCCATCCGTTCAGGCTATCGAATTTTAGCTGAGTTACGTCAGGCTCAGCGAACGAAGCAGGAGGTCCGCCATATAAGAAATGAGCTAGAGTTAAAACTTCCAGATCGGCAGGATTCTCTGAAATGGATACTAAGGGTCTTGAATTAATAACTGCCGTGATGTGGGATAACAGCGTACGCAGTTCTTCAAATCCATGCACCAAGGTGCCTATAGCACGATAGAAGTGATACTTGGCCGTCTTCACTGCAGGTTCCCACAGGCGTCCAAAGTGCGGGGAGCGTGGCGGTATGAAGTGCCAGTCAATAGCCTCAACCAAACAAAATTCCAGGACCGCCTTCTGATGGCCGTCGCTGAGAAATAGGCGCTTTAGATCCAAAAGCTCATTCCTGGCGCCGACAAAATTAGTTGCGTTATCTGACCAAATTTGTCGCGGCCTTCGTCTTGTGCATATGAACCGCTTTAGGCCGTGCAGAAAGGAGACTGTAGACAAATCCTTCATCCTCCAAATGAACAGCCTTAGTCGCAAAGCAAATGAAGACGCAGACGTAGCATTTGATTGGAGCCTTGTTTGCGTGCCTCTGGCTTGTAGAAAAAAGGGCCACAGAAAACAGAAACAGTGAGTCCGGGATGCCGAATCCGGTTGACAAACTTGTGAATATATTCAAAAACGCGTTGCATGGACGCAAAAGAGTTCGCATACTTGGACTCAGATACGATGTCTACGTAGGGCGATTTTACCAGGAGAACCTTCGGACGAAGCTCCAGGGTTGTCTTAACAGGTAGTACAGTGGGTGGCCAGTCATCAGAGGATCCGCAAAGAAAAGGTCCATGAGCCCAAAGAGGTGACTCGCTCAACTCTACTAGAAGAGCCCCTCGCGAGAGAATGTCAGCCGGGTTCAATGCTGTGGGAACATAGTGCCATTCCATTTGAGCAGTAAGTTCCTGTATCGTTGCCACTCTATTTGCGACAAATACTTTGAATCTGGACGGTTCGTCCCGAATCCAAGAGAGCGCAACAGACGAATCACACCAACAGTAAAACTTCCCTTTGAATACCTTCATTCCGGCTATCTCAGATATGAGTCTAGCTAGCAACTCCGCTCCACAAAGCTCCATCTTTGGTACAGTCAGTGTTTTCAATGGAGCAGCACGAGATTTTGCACAGAGTAAGTGGCTGCTGAACCGCTGACCCTTAGACACAACATAAATGCAGGCACCATAAGCCTCAATGCTGGCGTCCCAAAATTCGTGAATTTCTAGCTCAAAATTCGTAATAAGCACGAACCGAGGAAATTCATAGCGTCGAATGTGGCCAAAACTGTTACATAATTCCTGCCAGGAGGTGTTCAGTCCTGATGGCAAGCTTTCATCCCAGGACAACTTCTCCTTGCACAATTGCTAGAGAAAGATTTTTGAATTTGTAATGACAGGTCCAGCTAGTCCAAGGGGGTCGTAGAACCGGGCTATTGTAGGAGAATAAAAGTTGATCAGACACAGGATCCCAGGCAAGTCCCAGTGTTTTGGTAAAATCACTGCCATCGTCGAATTTCAAATAAGTTTCCTTGTCCTTCTCCGGAACCCCATCGAGGACAGGAGGGACGTTCGAACACCATTTCCTCAGTCGGAACTGGCCTCTACTCAAAATTCCTGCAGTTTGCTTACGAATGCGGATAGCCTCCTCCGGAGAGCTGGATCCAGATATTAGGTCATCAACGTAGAAGTCACGGCGAAGAATCTCAGTCCCAATAGGAAACGCTGTCTGTTCATCCATTGCCAGCTGATGCATGCCCGCACAGATAAATAAGAGGCAGGCTTCGTCCCATAAGTAACGGTGTCCAGCTTGAACACACGCAACTCCTCTTGCACGGAATTCCTCCATGGAATACACTGTCCTCAGATGAGACCCTGACACATCGGTACATCTTGCAAATATCTCCCGTAATCGCAACTACATGTGACCGAAATCGAGTAAGAATATGGAAAAGCTTCGGTTGGATTACAGGACCGGCCATTAAAACGTCGTTCAGGGAATAACCAGATAATGTTGATGCAGATCCATCGAAAACGACCCGAAGATTGGTTGTAGAACTATCTTCCTTTGTGACGCAATGGTGAGCCAAAAAATATCGGCAGGAGCTGATTGACTCGGCAGGAACCAAGGACATACTCTTTTATGAAAGCAGCATACAGAGATTTTACATCAGGACGGCGATCTAACTTCCGTTCAAGGGATAAGAACCTTCGAAGAGCGTGATGGTACGATTCTCCCAAGAGATCCAGATTGTATTTTGCCGGCAGCCAAACACAATAATCGCCGGTTTGCAATCGGCGGAAATGCTGCACAAAGTGAGCTTCACAATCTAGCTCTTCTTTGGTAGAATTTACTATGGGTTCGATGCAATTCTCTACCTCCCAAAACCGTCGCAGCAGGAACTCAAGTCTCTCGTCTAGGTTATCCTCCGCAGCTACGGCCGGGGTGCGCGAAACCATTAAAGAGGACCCCTTCTTTAGCCGGGAACAACCTCCAGATATGACCCATCACAAGATCGCAGATGCTGAAACTTCTCAATGTTGGATAGGTCTGGATGATTGTCGATGATGGTCGTGAACATCGAGTAAAAGTCCGTCCAATCCGCATATCCTCCGCTAAACCTTGGCAATTGTATGGGAGGAAGGGATGATCCTGGCCTACGACGAGGTGGAGGCTGAGCACCGGCAAAACCTGCAGTTGCATTTGCTCCAGCAAACGTAGAATGCAGCGGCATGTATCCGCTAATCCTAGCAGTTTCACGCATGATCGAAGCCTTGAGAGCACTGGCAATTGTTTCAAAGCTGTCGCACAGTCCACTATGAATTTCGTTGCAGTCCAATTCTTCAAGCTGTTTCAAATTGCCCATTCAGCTTCTCGATCTGCTCCAGCTTTACCAGTAGCATGTAATAGTCACAGACAGCAGCCTCATCTTCCCAAGCGGTAGCCAATCTTTTCAATTTCTCACATAGTTCCGTTGACTTAATCCTCAGAAAAGACACCCTGTTTTGCTCCCTGGGCACTGGAGCGTCGTTGGCAGCATCCATAGCAGCAGCGGTTCTAAAAACGTTCGTAGCAGGAAGAGGAACACAAAGCGCAACGCGCGTAACAAACGTGAACTTCAAGCGCAATTTGTGTATGCACAGGCGGCCGGTGTATATGCTTCTACGGCAGCTATGTGGTCGATGGCACTGGTTATGTGGTCGATGGCACTGGATCAGAGCGGCGAGCAAAGCAGACGAACGAACGGCAATTAAGTGTTAATTATTATGTTAAAATGTAGTTTGTGATATGTACCAAATTGCACAAATCACGTCGGGGTCACCAATGTTTGAGCTATTAAGCGTTTTTAATAGCTATTTTAATTGAATTTAAGAACAGAGCCGATACATTTATTACAATTTTATTTTATTAGTATTTAGTAGCGGCAGTACGCGTATTTAATATGTTTGCTTAAGGTATATAGACCGAACGTTCTGAATATCAATAATTGACTGATCGCAGGGAAAAATGGGCCGACTGCCCGTGCCCTATGCATAACGAGAGCGTGAGAGCATTATGGCATAGTTAGGCTCGGCTTCTGAGCCGAGCAAGCAAGAGAGCTGCTTAAACGCAGCAGGTGCAGCAGCAACACGAAGGCAGCGGGAGACAGCCGCCAGAACAGACGCTGCCGGGCGTAGGCATATGCGTTATGCTGCTTGACCCGACAAATACCTTTTGGAAGGTTGCGGGCCCAACTGCCAATTGGGAACAATGCAAACGAAAAAGGGTAAAAAATTTACACATTTGGTACCTGATCGCGTTCCTTTTTAGCTCCAAAGTCTCTCCATAGATTTTAATGAGCGATACCTTAAACGACGCCAAATTAATGCACTTATATAAAAAAAAAAATAGAGGACACAGGATATAATTTTTTTTCGACTTTTCCTGAGTTTTTAGAGTCAAAATTTCGTAAAAAATACCGCACAAAAATCATCATTTTTGCATTTCAATGCTTTATATTTCCCAGACGGTAAGCTGAAATCACAAAGTGGTTGGGCTCAACTTCTAGCTGTGTTAATTATCTTTTCAAAATAGCAAAACAGACGTAGGATACTAGAGTTATGTGAAACAACAAGCGCTACCTCTGAAAAAAGCTTAAAAAAAAATACAAGACTTCAAAAATTATTCAAAAAAAAGTTCTGCCATAGAAAACTAAAAATATCATCAAACCATTTCTAAGCCCCAAATCTTTAAGAAAAAGTTCGTTTTGTTCCTTGAGGAAAAATCGTGTTGACTAGTGTAATTATCATTGATCGCTGTTGTTATTAAGAAGTCGTGAATGTCGAGAACTATTAATTTATCATTAATAATTCTATTTTTGGTAATTAATAAATTTCCTTCTGACAACAAAATCATCCAACGAGTGCGCAAATAAATATTAGAATATTTAAATTCCTCTGGCCTACGTGTGCGACGAGTATCATTCCGATTTCACCTTCTGTACCGCAGGAATTGCGAGCTCTACCCATAACAGATCCATCAGCTGAGTATGCCTTCTGGTGGAAAGAAAGTCAGCAAAAAACTAAAGCGTGTAAGCTCGCAGAGTGACGCCCAGCCGCCCAGCTCTTCCACAGTAGTTACTACACCCACTTCTTTTCGTTCGCCCTCACGCTCGCGAGTTCCGACCACTTCCAAGGTTTGCCAGTCCATATTGGACACCCTGTTGTGTCCCTCACCATCCACGTGCACGGTTCCAGGAACCAAGGCCCAATCTGCCGCCAGCTCTGCACGGTCTAGGTTTGCTTTGGCTACAGGCCGGCTCACTCACTTTGACCAGAAACTTTTCAGTGGGGACTACCAGCAGTGGCCCACGTTCCGAGACCTATTCACCGCCAACTACATAAACAACGCCAGGTTGACTCCGGTGGAAAAATTATACCACCTCAACCAGAAAACGAGCGGTGAAGCCCACGACATAGTGGCTCAGGCCCCGCTCACGAATGATGGGTTTGATTCTGCCTGGAACAACCTTCGTGAGCGTTTCTAAAATAAAAGTCTGATACTGAAGGCCCAGCTGAAGATCCTTTTCAGCTTGCCTTTCATCCGATCTGAATCTGGAGCCGCCTTAAAGGAGCTCCATAGGTCTGTCCACAAATGCCTCACGACCCTTCAGCACTCAGAGGTGTCCACCGACAGCTGCTTTGCAGATGGCGTGCTGGTGTACCTCATTACCGATAAGTTGCCAAAGGCGACCGTCAAGCTTTGGGAACAATCGGTTCCGAACAAATTCGAGGTTCCGACTTGGCGCGCCATGAACAAGTTCTTAGGGGAGAGATACCTCTCTCTCGAGGCGACCGAGGACGGTCATCCAGGCATCGAGACGCACTACAATTCTCGTACAAGCCTTCCCACTCCTGCACCTCGACGAGTCAACTCCTTTGAGGGGAGAATCTCCAGCAAGGCGCGCACTTGCGACCTCTGTTCCCGGAGTTATCATCCGGTGCGATCATGCCCAGAATTTCTTCGCCTGACCGTACAGGAACGGTCAAGCTACATTCAGCAGAAACAACTCTGCTTAAACTGCTTCGCGCGAGGACACCAACTCTGGGACTGCACCAGTGCGTACAACTGCAGTACGTGCAATGGACGACACCACACCCTCCTTCATCGGGGCGAGCAGACTCCGAGTGGCTCCAACTGTGCTCCCAGTCCTCACACCACACAAGCCCCTACCACCATACAGTCCACTTCCTCTTCTCTTCCTTCGTCCAACGACTCGGCCCATGTCCAGAGCTATTGTTCTACAAATGTCCACCAGGTGCTACTGGGCACAGCAATAGTGGACATTTGTCATGCCGGCACAAGATATAAGGCTAGAGCCCTGATCGACTCCGGATTTGAGGCCACCTCTATTACTGAGCGGATATTCAAAATCATTCGGCTCCCCTTCCAAGCCGTCCAGGCTCAAGTCTCCGGTTTGAGTCAAACGGTAGCGGCCAAGGACCAGAAACTCTGCCACTTCACGATCGGCTCCGCCTTAAGGCCCGGCCTCCAGGTCGAGACCACGGCTTACGTTCTTCCGCAATTGGCAGGTAACTTCCCGTCATATCCTGTACCGCAGAAGTACATGACAGACCTTCCTAAACTCCAGTTAGCGGACCCCTGCTTTCATCGCAGCTCGCAGATAGACGTGCTTATAGGCGCTGATATCCTTCCATCCATCGTTTTGAGCGGCTTCCGGTCCAACATTTGTGGCTCGCTCTTGGGCCAAGAGACTATCTTCGGATGGGTCCTATCCGGTCCTGTCGCAGCTGACTCATCTCGAATGATCTCTTCCTTCACCACGAAGATTTCGGTCAGCTCTGACGTTCGACTCGAGAAACTTCTCACAAGGTTTTGGGAGGTGGAGGACCTTCCAGGGAGACCTACGAGCGAGTCAGACTCCATTTGCGAGGACAATTTTCTCCAGACCACGCAGCGAGCTCCCGACGGGAGATACATCGTCAGTCTTCCATTCAAATGTCCAGAAAAGATAGACTTAGGCTACTCCAGGCTTTCGGCCCACGCCCAGTTTCTGAGAAACGAGCAGCGTCTGCAGCGAAACTTGCCTCTAAAGGAGCAGTACGACGCCGTCATTCACGAGTATTTAGAGCTAGGCCACATGAAACAGGTTCCACCTAGTCATGACTCCGGCCACTTCTATCTTCCACACCATGCTGTTTTCAAGCCAGAAAGCGTCCAGCCCGTCTTCGAACGGAAGAAGCCTGTATGACATATTGCATTCAGGGCCAGTCATTCAGTACGACTTGACCACGCAAATCCTGAAGTGGCGCGTATTCCGATACGTTTTCAACGCCGACATCAATAAGATGTATCGGCAGATCCTCGTGGCGCCACAACACACTCCATATCAACGGATAATCTTTCGCAATCCTAGCGGGGACGTGTGCGACTATGAACTCGATACGGTCACCTTCGGAGTCAGCTGCGCGCCATTTCTCGCCATTCGCGTCCTAAGGCAACTCGCACATGAAGTGCGTCCTCGGTTCCCAAAGGCAAGCGACATCCTGGCCAATTACATGTACGTAGACGACGTTCTAGCTGGTACACATACCCAGCCTCAGGCAATTTTCGCCATCGCCGAGTTGCGAGAAGCACTCGATTCCGCCGGCTTTCCACTCCGAAAATGGACCGCCAATCAGAAGGGCGTGCTGAGCGACATACCTCTCGACCACTTACTGCGAGCTGATTTCCTCGAGCTCGAAGAAAGCAGTATCGCAAAGACCTTGGGTATCCGATGGCAAGCTAGTGCCGACGAGTTTTTCTTCGTCCCTCCCGAATTAATTCATCGGGAGGCCTGCACGAAACGCAATGTGCTGTCCCAGATTGCGAAGCTGTTTGATCCAGCGGGATGGCTTGCCCCCTTTGTCATCCAAGCTAAGATGTTCATGCAGGAAGTGTGGTTACGAGAGTTAGGTTGGGACGATGACCTTCCTGGCGATCTGCGTCAAACGTGGGAGACCTTCCTGCAGAGTTTTCCGGCCATCCAGCAGATCCACATACCAAGGGGGATCCACGTCTGTCCGACTGCCAAGGTGCAAATTCATGGCTTCTGCGACGCGTCTCAGCGTGCCTACGGTGCGGCGATCTACGTCCGAGTGGAGCGGCCGCATGGCATATTCTGCTCTCTCCTGACAGCTAAGACTCGCGTGGCCCCCGTGAAGACGATATCCTTGCCTCGACTTGAGCTGTGCGGTGCGGTCCTTCTGGCAGAATTGTCCGCTGCCATCCTTCCAGAGATGCCGCTAGACACTAGCCAAGTGTCCTTCTGGACCGACTCTACCATTGTGCTGGCCTGGCTGCACAAGCTAGCGTGCGAATGGACCACGTTCGTGGGCAATCGAGTCGCCACGATAGCGCGCTGAAACTCCGGCGAGCTATGGAGTCATGTGCGATCGGAAGACAATCCTGCCGACCTAGCCAGCTGAGGTATGGGACCCATCGACCTCGCGGGGAACGACATGTGGTGGCATGGTCCTGCCTGGCTGCTCCTTCCGCAGTCACAGTGGCCGTGTCCACTGGACCCATTGCCGGAGACTTGGAGAAGCGAGCAGTCAAGGTTCTGCATGCAAGTAGCACATCTTCTGACATCCTCAGCTGGTTCTCGGATCTCTTACCTATGTGCAGCGATTCATCCAACGATGCAGAGGATGGTCAGTCCACATTTCCAAGGAGCCAAGCGGGGCAGAGATAGCGGCCGCACTGCAAGCCGTTACCACCGCTACGCAGGGCAAGCACTATGCGGACGAACTTCGGTGCCTTGCAACCAAACGTCCTCTCCCTGCCTCGAGTTCCCCACGGAATCTCAATCCATTCATTGACCAGAACGGTGTCATGCGAGCATGTGGCCGAGTCCAAGCCTCCGCTTCCATGTCCTACAACGAGAAACATCCAATCCTACTGCCACCCGCATCCCTCCTCGTTCGCCTGCTGGTGCGCTTCACTCATCACATAGTCCTCCATGGTGGGAACCAGCTGGTCATTCGCCTTCTCCGCGCAACGTACTGGATCCCTTGACTACGTCACGTAGTTAGGGCGGTGATCCAATCCTGTAAGGTATGCGTAATCCATCGCAAGCGACTCCAAACCCAATTAATGGGTGACCTCCCGTCCACAAGAGTCACATTCTCCAGACCATTCACATACACCGGAGTCGACTTTGCCGGTCTCTTCGACGTCACCGTGCGCGCATGCCGCATAACCAAAGGTTATGTGTGCGTGTTCGTGTGTTTCACCACGAAAGTCATCCACCTAGAGGCCACGTCCGACTTATCCACTGACACCTTCCTAGCCGCTTTCGCTCGTTTTGTCGCGAGACGAGAGTGTCCTCACGAGGTCCAATCCGCCAACGGCAGGAATTTCGTCGGCGCATCTCGTGCTCTGGCTGTAGACCTTCTCGAGGCCATCCGAACTCGGACTTCTGCGGTGTACAGTCAGCAGGGCTTATCGTGGCGGTTCATCCCTCCGGGAGCCCCTCACATGGGTGGCCTTTGGGAAGCAGGCGTGAAGAGTTTCAAGACTCTGTTCCAACGGTCGATGTATACGGCCAAATATACATTGGAGGAGTTCGCCACCTTACTCTCCAAAATTGAGGCCAGCCTTAACTCTCGACCGATCTCTCCTATGTCCGAGGACCCAAATGACCCGCTGGCTCTAAGCCCAGGTCACTTCCTGATCGGCGGGCCGCTACTCTCCGTGGCGGAGCCTGAAATCAAAGAGAGCGCCTCCTCCATCCTGTACCGCTGGCAACATCTCCAGGCTCTAACCCAGCAATTCTGTTCGCGCTGGAAGACAGAGTACCTGCGAGAGTTGCACAAGCGTAACAAATGGCAGCATCCGACAAGAGACCTAGAGGTGGGAGACCTCGTTATTATCAAGGAGGATAGCATCCCGTCTCATGAATGGCGTCTCGGACGGGTACAAAAAATGTACCCTGGGCCCGATGATAAGGTCCGTGCGATAGACCTTACCACGGTCCGAGGCCTTATCAAAAGACCGATTACCAAGGTTGTCCTGCTACCTATGGAATCGGAGATCCAGTCCACCTACTAACGCGTAGGATCCGATCCTTAAGTATCCGCCTTCTTCTCCTTAGGCTTAAGTACAACTCTCCTGCACATATTTACTAATCCTCACTTCCGATTTCCGCAGACACGGTCTCATCATGGCACCCCATCAGCCCACACGCACCCAACGCAGAAACACCGAGGATCAAGCCCACGATAGCAGGCGTACCCGAGGTACCATGTCCTACCGCTGCCGAGTCTGCCGAGGCGTCCATCCTCTTAGGAAGTGAGGGCGGTTCCTGCGGCTAAGCGCTGAAAAGCGGTTGCGGGCGGCACTTATCAATCAGTACTGCCCCAACTGCCTAGCCCACGAGCACTCGGGACGCGACTGCCCCAGCGGAGACCGTTGCCGGCATTGCCACAAGCACCACCCCACCCTACTGCATGTTCCGGACACGGATCGTCGTCGCCCCACACCAGTCACACCGTCCTCACCAGCTGGACCGCGGGGCACACCGACTGATCGACGGCCTACTCATCCGAGGACGTCGGCATCCTCCTCCAGCCGAGCTCCAACTCTGACCACACTGCTGCAGCACCGCCACCCGCAGGTACTACCGACCACCACCTATGAGACCAGGGCGTTGATCGACCCCTGCCGCCCCATGTCAGTGATCAACGCGTCGCTTGCCAAGGCTTTTCATTTGAGCACTTCCATGATCGGTGATGAAGAAGCCTGTGCAGCAGTGCTCCGGTCACCGATGTCCCCGGACTTCCTGTTGGAGGTCGTATTCCAAGTGGACCCGAAACTGCATCTGCGCACTCTTTCCGCTCCTTCCTTCCTTCCACTATTATCTGATGCAAGTAAGCCAGCATGTGGAGCGGTTTTAACTCAAACTCAGATCATTCACAAAAGGTGAAAGTAATAGGAGTACAACAGAACAAGAATTAGCAGCTATTCACTGGGCAATAACACATTTTCGACCATATGTCTATGGCAAGCATTTTTTAGTTAAAACTGATCACAGACCACTAACTTATCTTTTCTCAATGGTTAATCCAAGCTCAAAACTAACAAGAATGAGATTGGAATTGGAGGAGTATGATTTCAACGTAGAGTATCTGAAGGGAAAAGACAATTTCGTGGCAGATGCACTGTCACGAATAACAATAAAAGAATAGAAAAACATTACAACAAATATATTACAAAGAAAATTACTGCAAGATATGATGTTAGCGATTTATATACTAATGGAACAATTGATTAAAGACAATTTTTCCAAAGGCTTGAAATGCAGGCCGGTATACATAAAATCAGCCAACTCAAAGTAGCACCGTCGGAATATATCTTTGAACACGTTTCAATTGATAATTTTATAAAAATGGGTAATAAAACATTAAAATCAATTAGAGTAGCGCTACTCAACCCGGTGACCGTAATAAAAAATAAATAAGAAAAAGAAGCTATTATGTCTACATACCATGACGACCCCATACAAGGAGGTCACACTGGCATCACAAAAACCTTGGCCAAGGTCAAAAGACATTATTTCTGGAAAGGTTTGACTCGAGATATAACTGAGTACATCCGAAAATGTCAAAAATGACAAAAAGCGAAAACAACTACGCACACTAAAACTCCACTAACGATAACTGATACAAGCTTTCGACAGAGTCATAGTGGATACCATTGGTCCACTACCCAAATCAGAGAAAGGCAATGAATATGCAGTCACTTTAATATGTGACTTAACAAAATACTAAGTTGCCATACCAGTTGCAAATAAAAGTGCAAACACTATCGCTAAAGCAATATTTGAGTCTTTTATTCTGAAGTACGGTCCAATGAAGACGTTCATTACGGACATGGGAACAGAATATAAAAATTCAATACTTAATGACCTATGCAAATACTTAAACATTACATGAACCGCACACCATTGTGAGGTCCTATTTCAGGCTGTGGTATGCATCAGTTCGTCCAGGGTCCGCTACAAGAAAATTTTGTAGATTGTATGTGACTTCAGGTGTCGGGCTGGCTTGAAAAATGCAGTAGGCAAGCGAGAAATGATGATGCGAGATTTTTTGGTTGTTGTTCTTTGTTTATTCACTCTTTATTCATTCACTTTTTACGTTGCTACTCTGACTCGTAGTTGAATGTAGTGACTGAGGGACTGCGTAGTGCAGTGTCTTGGGTGTGTGACTGAGGGACTGTCTTGTGCAGTGTATTGTGTTTGGGCTGATGGACTGCCTAGTGCAGTGTCTTGTGTTCGGGCTGATGAACTGCCTGCTCTTTCGGCCGATCTTGGCCATTTTATGCAGCTGGCGATCGCACCTGAGACCCGGAAATAATTGCTTATTGATAACTTTGACAATAATTGTGGGGCGTGGTAAGTGGATCGAAGCTTGGTGCTTCGTTGACAATTGCCCAGTGGGTCAGTGTGTTTTTGCTGAGAGTCTTTAGCTGCGGCTGCATCGCAGTAGGTGCGGGCTGCAGTTGGGAAAGGTGATATCTGAATTTGGGTCAATGTTTCGAGGCCGAGTGGTTGCGAAATATCGCCAAGAAGTGGGTGACCGAGAATTTCGTGCTGTGTGTTTGGCTGATCGAGAGTTCTTAATTTTAGTAATTGCGTGCGTGGCTTAAGACTATTTTATTTCCCGGAGGTGCTGAAACACCGCTATTTGTGGAGAACCGTGGCTCGTTGGCTCTGTGTATATCAGTTTGATTATTGTCTCCCGCCAGCGTGAATGCGCTGACCCTCCGCCGTTTGGCAAGAACCATGGTTCGTTACACCGCTTTCTTCCGGGTGGGTGTTGGAGAGGTTAGTGGCATCGCTTGGCGGGTGCTGAGGTTCGCCTTTTTACCAGGTTATCCTGCACTTTGGCTTGTGCCGAGTCTTTGGATTCGTCGGTGTTAATCTAGTCACTTTAGCGTGGCGTCGGTAACGTTATATTTTCTACTGCTGCTGTGATCGTGGCCTTTCTGCCGTTCTGGGTGCTTTGTAGCTGGTTTTTGCTTGGTGGGTCGCTTATCCCATATGACGATGGTTTTCTCGGCAGTTTTCTTTGGTAGTTCTTTGTCCAGGCATTCTTGGATCGCCGGTGCTATGTTGGGTGGCCAAGGATCCGTGGTCAGTTTTGGATCGTCTTCGGTGGGTTCGGTGGCTCCGGGGTCAAACGTTTGATTCGGGTCTTTCGGTAGGATGGGTCTGTCGAATGTAAATGCTTGAATCTGCGGGGCCAAGTCCGGCGGCCACGGCTCCGGGACTGGTTCGGGCTCATGTTCGACTGGATCGGCGGCTTCACAGTCAAATGGGGTCTTCGGGTAAGAGGGTTGTATCGAAGGCGCTGGGCGGTTC